ATAACACCTCAAAACAATGTAAGGATGCATTGCTCATGATTAACAATGTGCAAATAACAGCTACCATAGAGCAATGCCCATACAGCTGCCAGCCTGATGTGCTTAACACTCATTCATAGGCTAACTCGCCAGTGAGCAGAAAGCGGTGGGTTCTATATGAACAATAAATAATACAAATAACCTTTCACAAACAGGTATTTCATAACTGCTTACAGTGAGGAATACATTTAAATTATTATTGGCCGTCACAGGCTGCTGTAAACTAAACACCACTCTCTCTGACAGAACACCTCACTGAGTGATTTAACTCATATGTCTAACTTTGAGGTTTCTCTTTTCAGCCGCAGACCCCATGTCGCCTCTTTATGTGTGTCGCTAAGTTCCTCGTACTACTTGTGTACTTTAAATCGGCTCGGCATCGTTAACAATTTGCGAGCGATTTTTCAAGTTGACCGTCTGTGCCGCGCACATGTACCATCAGGACGTTACTGATGGGGTGCGGCTGCGGAGTGATACTGTGTGTATGCAAGCCCGCATCTAGGACGGATCTATGTATCATGGCTGTAGACCTGTTAAGTAATAAAGATACCTCATACAAAAGTCTACGGATACCTTATTACTCTCCATGACCTGCGGTCAACTATATAGCCTAGCATAAAGGACTATTACACCGTCTTTCTTGAACAATCCGAAGTGTTGCCAAACGTTTGATTTGTAGGTATTTTTCAGTGCGCTGTTTCTCTTTCTCCTCGACTTCCGTGTGTGTTGATAACTGAGACTCTCGGCCTCCGTAGTGGCGAAGCAAATATCAAAGATCGTCTCTGCTGAGCGTTGACAAGATTAGGGGATTTTATATGAATGAATCGTTTTTTTACCGATGCAAAGACGCTACGCAATCGATGCATCGCGAGTTCAACCCGGTTCAACCCGGTTCAACCCAAACTGTAGCCGATGTGCACTCTTTCAACCGGTGCACTCGCATCTTGAACGTTTATGCCGGTGCACCGATGCGAATCGGTGAATCTTAACATCTCTATAGGCCACACACCAGAGATAGGCCATAAGGTGAACCCTGTTATCGTTTCAACCCGCTCCACAGAAGTGAAACTACACAATCTTTAGTTCATAAAAAAGAACGAGTCATGCTTATCCACCAAAAAAAATATCGTCGCTAAAATTCCTGCCAATTCTTCTAGGCACGTAATTATTGGCTGAACTAGTCCCTTCGAAGCGTAATAATATCTTGGTCCAAAGTCGTGCCACGGTTCGTCACGTGATCGTGCTACACCAATTGGGTAGCTGCATATTGTCAACAGAAGTGAAAGATGGCGGCCGCCATGGTTACGCTAAACCAGACCAAATGGATTCTAAACAGTGCTGTATGCTTGTTTTATGTCATGTTTTGTCATATGTCTTAATACATCACTAAGTCCGAGGTATTTGCGTTATATACGCGGTATTTGTGAGAGGTTTTACTATCTGGGAACAGAGTTGACCATCGAATCAACATTGACTAGCAGCGTTTATCAGCCAACTCCAGCTACAAACAATTTCCCCACGGGGATTAATAAAGTATATCAAACTCATATTTATCAAACTATCATTCCTGGACTGCCATGTTCACATCGCTAGGTTCATTGGGATTATTCCATTAGACTAAGGACTTTTTGTCTGTCTGTTGTTACCCTGTACACGTTAAATGCACTCTTAAAATAAACATGACTTGATTTCTGCGTCCAAGAAGAAGGTTAACTTGTTACGTTAAGTAATTTAGATCAATAAAATGCAGTACTTCCAGGCTGAAGACTTTTCTTTTTGTTGCTGCTTTTAATTGAACTATTCATATCTTAGACTGCACTGTAACTTTTATCCATGTATTTTTTCTTTTAATGTTTCTTTTATTAGCTTTTCTTTTGAATGACTGATTTTAAATGCCATTTTCTTAATGTCTTTAATTTTTTGTAAAACACTTTGAATTGCCTTGTGTTGAAAAGTGCTATATAAATAAACTTGCCTTGCCTTACTTATACCAATGTCCATTGATTCATTTATTTACTCATTCATCCCTCCACAAATGAAAACAACACTGATGAACCATAAAAACGAGATTTATTACAAATATAAAAGGTATGACATAGAAAACAGTAGAAGGACATGTAATGTAGTATAATTGATTGGTGTCAGGCTGGGCGGAGCGGCTGATTGGTGCTGTGATTGCCTCAGCTGGTTAAAAGAGTCCTGCTGATTATACTCTGTTCTAGTACCAAAAACAAACGTATCTATGAGTGATGTGTGAGCGCGTCGGCCAGGCACTAAAACCAAAAGAACAGAAAAGAGCTTAAGAAAGATGGAAAGAAGGCTCTTTTATTCCTATTCCTCACTGTCAGTGTCAGGGCAGTCATCGTTCTCTTCCTCTGTTTCTTTTTTATTTGCACAATTTGAGCAACGACATAAGTCTGTGCAACAGAGTCCTGCAGAGAAGCATGAACATCTGCCTTTCTCACAGGCAGACTCTTTGCAGCTGCAGTGTATCACATGCAACACACTGTCAGGGGCAGGATTTCTTGTCATCCAGGTGACGTGTAAGTTCCCATCCTCTATTTCCCAACCATATCCAGCAGGTGATGGAGCATTCATTTCTCTTTTGAGACAGGACCTCATTATTGCTGCCTGGTAATTTGCCCTTTTGCAGTGCTGATGGAGGGCATCATGAGTAGGGGGAATGCTTCATTCTGGCAAGGCCGATGATGCCATACAAAAAGCCTTGTACCTAGCATCATTTACATGTTCGGCTGCTGGCTGATCATACAGGTGACATACATACCGGCAAAGAAGTGCAAATGTTGATTGCTCCAAGTCAAAGTTAGTACCTAAACTTCTGAAAGCCTTAAGGTAGTCATCTTTCTCACATGCAACAGCAAATGACTTTCTTTTGCCTTTGCCATAGAAAGCACTTGTGGAGTCACACCCAGAGAACGTGTGAATTCCAATCAAGGCTGAACACACACTGGTTCCGAGAGCTGATGACACCATGGCAATGTCAATGATTCGTGTCCTGTTGCCAGTCCCTGTGAACACATATAAGCTGCATGGCAAATCTGCCTGCAGACTTACAGCAATGACTGCCACATCAGTGTCCGAGCTCTTGATGATGACAGCTTTGTGCTCCTGTGCAGCATGTTGGGCATGTAAAAACACCCGTGTGTCACATTCCTCATGATCACACTGCAGGTCTTCAACAACATCAACAGACTGTACACCCTCCATGACAGTTACACAGTGGCATTGATTTTGATGGGCAATGTACAAGCTGAGGTTTTTACCCACTGTTGTGAGGTCTGCATGTGTCCATGCCACATAAAGGAATTCGGCCAGTGCTTCCTTATTTTTTCCGTCAGAGAGAAACTTCTTCCACTGGGTTGGAGTTCTCTGATCTGGGCTGAAGATTGTTATTAGTTGTGACCCTGCATCAGCTCTACGGGACCGTTCTAGGCTTTTGATGCTGATGGGTGGATACCGGTCAGTGACAAAATCAATGCGTGTACACTTGTGATGCAAAGCAAGTTGGAGTATGCTCTGCAGTATGGTCTCTGCAAGCTCTCCAAATGTTGCTGGTCTGGATGGCATGGCCTGCATGACTGCCATGCCATCAAAAAGAATGGCACCACCTATTGGAACTTTGTCAACCAAGCACTCTCCACCTTTGCTCTGCAATAGATCCATGAGAGCTGATTTGTTTGTTTTGGCAAGTGAACCATCAGCACTTGCTAATGGATATGACACAGTTCCCAAGGAATATGACAGAATTTCCCTCATTTCAATTTTCCTGCTCTGGCCAAGGATGAGGAGCCTGGAAAATAACTTCTTGTCAGCACGCAAAATCACTTCCTTGCCTGCTGCAGATTTTTTGGGGGGCTTTTTCTGATCACTGAGAGTCTTGAGTTTTTGTGATATTATGGGGGCAAATATGTCAACTGTTTTGGATAACAGTCTCTGCTCCATAAACTCCTTTACAGCATTTTCACCCTTTTCTGAGGCAACAAGCAAATCCTTTGTGATTTCTCCTGTTGCTACTCTTCCAGAGCTAAGACACACAATGCCGACTTGGTGTACATCAAAAGGGTTGAGCATGGAATCAATAGTGTCCAAGATTCTACTCACAGCCTTTGCATCAGCAGAGATGCGTGTCTTGTCCAGGTCTTTTCTTGTCCGTAGCTCAGGAGATATCCCTGCCATTGATTCACACTGTCTTGCTATCGCGGCTCTTTCATGCTGTGACAGTATCCAGCGATACACTGCAGACCGATTTTGTGTGATCCCTGTCCAGCCACCTTTGGTCTTGGCATCTCTGTTAAGCGTTTGCTCAATAGCCTGGTCGCAAGCAATGGAGGCAAATCCATGAACACTTTGTCGCTGGACAGTCCACTGGCCTTTCACATTCATGTCACTGTGGCAAGAGGGATGTGTGACAGGCAGATTCATCATTTCCAGCCAGTATGCAGGTAAATATCGAGCGTAATTTACTCTATCGTAGGCAAAAAACCATGGCATCATTAACCGGACGGTTGACAGGTGAAGCTGCCAGTTTGATTCTCGCGTTGCTCTCACAAACAGGAGGAGTAGCTGCATCATGTCAATGTATGAGCTCCAGAAAGCAAATGTTGCATTCTCTGTACTCCTCCTCTGCACAAAGTCTGCATATTTCGAGCACATATTATCAAACCTCTGATCTGCACTCAAAACATCCATCAATCTGTCTGGAAAGGCACATTCCATCTCAGTGATGACATCCATGCACGCAGCTCTCTCTTGGGGTGGCAAGGAGTCCATGAAGGTGATAAACCGGATGCTCTGCAGACTCTCATATAGAAGTTTATGAGCCCTCATGCTGCGATTGTAGTGATGGCCATTGAGTACCCCATTGATGGATCCTGGGGCAACAACTTCAGATTCAATGAGGATATCTTGCAGTCCTGCATCTCCGAACCTTTTGCCTAGAATACTCAGGTAGGACATGCATGTATGGAATTCACCTAGTCTAATCACTAGACGCTTTGTAAACTCAACATCCTTCCAGCGTATTTGCTGTGCTTTGGCATATATAGCCTGGTCAAACACTAAAACTATATGATCCAGTTCTAGCTGGTCAGCAATCTGGACACTTCGCTTCAGGATAGTGTTGACTGTTGACATCTCTGTTGGTGAGGCTTCAATGACTGGAAGATCATACAATGCGGACTTCTGCAGAGTGTTTTCATCCTGAAGCAGTGTATGGAACCCTGTCCAGCTTGGGATTGTACAACTATCCGTACATGTGGACTTCACAAAAGCATATGCCATTTCAGCTTGTACAGCAAAGTGGGTGTCCATTCTGCATGTCGCTGACTGCACTGGTTGACACAAGTTCTGTGGCCCTTGCCTTTTGGACTGATGGTAAGGTTGTATAGGCATTGGGGGGGGGGGCTATGAATGAGGTAACTCCCTTTCTCAGTGGCTGTCTGATTGCTGTGGACATAGGCTCGCCGGGCACACTCTGGAGCATAATTCCATTTGTATGGTGAGTAGTTCCACGACCCGATAGTGTCTCCTCACCAAAGTCAATGTTATCCCACACAAGTGTTGTGGGTGTCCGCTTTGAGAATCCCTTCGGTATTTTGTCTCTGCCTTCTACTAGTGTCAGTTGGGCAAGGCTAGTGTCTAGACTCAAAACTGTGTCCCATGATGCACAATGTCCCAGTCTGTTAAGCAGTGATACAATGCGTGATGATCCAGTTAAATGTCGAACAGTTAAACCTAAAGCCAAGGACTTGGGTGTCTGCTTGCGGCCCTTGGAAGCAAGGTACACAATGTCTTGACAAACAGACAACACTTTCAAATGTACGTCATCATCAATGTTGACATAATGATCCAGTGTTGGCTCCTCAGTGGAACCTATAATCCAGCTGAGCAGATTGTATAGTCCAGGGGTGGCCAACCAGTCAGAGGTTAAGAGCCACATTTTTTCTATGTTACTGCAAAGAGCCACATCAAACACACAGTCACTGATACCGCTTGTTTCAGTTTTTTGTTTTCTGGAGACAAGATTTCAACCACGTCACTGATGCATTTTTGTGGCATTGGGATATATTTTTTTTAAATCCTCTGGAGCAGAGAGGAGCTGTGGATTATTGTTATTGATTAATGCATCAGTGTTTCTTAGGGTCAAAAACACTAAACTCACAACTTCAAATGAAAGCGTTTAGTTTATTTAATAAAAGAGCACATGTTCAATGTGAAAAGTGACAGTAGTTATAGATTATTTGCAATTTGGTGCGATATATATATTTAAAAAAAAATTATATATATTTTTTAAACACCTTGAATTTCAGGGGGGGGGCGCGGGGCTCCGTTGGCGGGGTGCAGCGCCCTTCCAAGACAATGGCAGGGGAAACACTGGATAGTAGTGTTTAATCAACGATAGGTTTTCCCCCCCTCAAAAAGTGATTGGTTCACTGCATCGCAGGTATTATTGTGATTGGCTCTTGGGCCACATCAAAATTAGACGCGCTGTCATCCTCTCATACTGACACCTGACACCACACATACACACCGGGAGCCGGGACGAAAGTAACACGGAACGAAAGTAACGGAGCAATTTTATCCGAGCCCAAACAACTTTGACCGGCCAAATTACGTCAGAATTATCAGCATTCAATACTTAACAGACCTACTAAATATCAGGTTTAACTGTCAGGAGTAGCTAGTGTTGTCACGGTACCAACATTTTGGTTTCGATACCAAGTCAAGAATTGCGATTCCGATTATTTTTCGATACTTTTCTTAAAAAAAGGGAAACAGTCTTAAATGTAATTATTGTGCTTTATTTCAGACCGGAACCAGAACCATAACACAACCTTTAAACAATAAGAACAATAAATGACAAGAATTCGTATTAAATACAATTAATACATTTCTTACAGACAGGCCTCGTGGTGTCCGTAGGCTTGCCCTCACTGTCAGAGATATAGCTAAAATACTTCCATATTTCGCTCCTGGCGTCTTTTTTGTCAACAAGCCGAGGCGCAGCGGCAGCTGCACTCCCACTTGCAGCCATGCTTCTCGTTTTCTCACATGCTCTGGCAGCTAGCGCGTGCACGAGAGCGGGGAGGCACTTGAGCGTGCTTTAGAGGGGCGGGACTGCAAGCACGGCTGCAGTGCAGGGAGTGGAAGCAGAGCGCTGAACACACACGGCTCTTATTAAAACAGCGCTTTCTCACCGGAGTACTTTCCGCCGTCATTCTTAAACGGAGGAATCGTAACGTTTTTAACGGCAGGGTATCGCGGTATACCTTTCAAGTATCGGTACACCGTGCACCACTAGTCAGGAGTCAGTGTCTCTCCCCCAAACTCACACATATAAAATTCAATATGAACTGAAGAGCCGCATGAAACTAGGCAAAGAGCCGCATGCGGCTCGAGAGCCGCAGGTTGGCCACCCCTGGTATAGTCCAATGGGGACAACAGTTTGAGATTCAGTGACATTTACATTTTCAGAAGTGGGAGGCCATGGGCATGACATGCCAGGAGTGTCACTAAGCAGTCTTTTCAAAAACAACGCTGCTGTATACAGTGTCCTTGTGTCCTCATGTGTTGTTTGGCACTTTGTTCTCCCTGTTTCATTGTCGCTGTCTGTCTGGCTCAATTCACTGGACTGTGTTGTTTCCGTACCGGATGGATCTGGTAGCATGTCCACGAGTGCATCCTTTGACAGAGTCTCAGCAAAAACCAGTTCGCAGACGTTGCGCTTGGTGGGCATGTGAAACGCTAGCTGAGGGAAATCTTGAGCCAGCCTCTTCTTCAACAGATCCTGTCTGTAACACAACAAAACAGTGACAATTACGAGTCACAGGAGTACCATCAAAAGCAGAGTGGTGGAGGTGATACAAGACATTACAGACTAGAACCTATCTGCCATACAGCACATTTAACACCAAAGAAGCCAAATAAAGGCCCACATCATCACAAACAACACTACACACTACACATCATGGGGGTTTCTCCAAACAGGCCTGTCATACACATTTTGTTTAAAGCTGGCCTTGCACATGATAAATAATAAGACTTGTATTACATTGCAGTTACCTGTAGTTTGAAGCATCAACACCTTCGTTTGCTTTCACCATGTCAATGAAGGCCTGCCTCAGCTGGCCCATTCTAAGCACCTCATTGTTGACAAGCAGCCTCTGGCGGATGATCCTCTCACAGAACAGCTTGTAACTGGCATCAAACATTGCCTCATCCCTACAACACATGAATGAGAAGTAAATAAATGGATAAATGAATAAGTGTTGTGATTGTGTGCACATATAACAGAAGGAAATTGGATGTTTACTTATAATGTTAAGTATGTGTATGTGTATATATATATATAGCCATCGCCGACACACACCTGGACTTCAGTCTGGTGGTAGTGCAAATAGGTAAAGCAATCCAAGGAGAAATAACTTACTGTTCTGTCTCTGGTTTGTCAGGTCTCAGCAAAAACATGGTGTACTGACTGTAACAGCTTTTGTGGTACCGCACCTCCAGAGCCACACAGTCTTTGTCTTTTATATGTAAAAGAACACTTTGGTCATCTTTCTTCTCAGCAGCTTTCTGCAATTTGCCTAAACGGAAAAAAAGGACAACTCAATGAGTTTGTTGACGTATCTCTCACACATAATTGTACCTTTCAGTTATTCAACCACAGAGAATGTGTGTGTGTGTGTGTGTGTGTGTGTGTGTGTGTGTGGTGTGTGTGTAGTGTGTGTGTGGTGTGTGGGTGGGGGAGGGGGTTTGCTTACCTGCTTTTAATGTTTCAGCCTTACACAGTTGATCCCTTTGTCGCTTGCCTGCTTTGATGATCATTTTCTCCTTCATCTTGCATATAATGCACAGGGCAGGAAGGACGGGGCCAGAGCCTGCGATTGGCAGGCCTGACCTTGATCGTAGCTTCTCTGTTTGGCTTCGGTACGTGCTGCGAGACGTCGATGGGATGGGCTCGACCTCAAGGTCCTCCCTAACGTCTTGATCTCCCTCACGTGCGAGCCGTCTTTCCACCTTCGTCATGGCCTTTGTGTCGGTAAACCTTATGTAGCATGTGTGGTGGAAGCCAGCGTCCTCAGGAATATCTTCGAACTCGAAATCAAGACAGTGCTTGTGGTTTTCAGCCACCACGTTCCGAGAGTCTCCCTTCAAGCCGAGCGACCGTTGTAAGCTTGTCCTGTACGTATTCCATCTTGTATTGGTAAAACAATCAACCTTTTCGTGCTTCACAGACGTAATATGCATGTAACAATGTTTGTGGGTTGACAATTTTGACTTTTTGAGACTTTCTGGTGCGTTTTCCTCGTCTCCGCTACTCGATGAAACCATGGCGGCCGCCATCTTTCACTTCTGTTGACAATATGCAGCTACCCAATTGGTGTAGCACGATCACGTGATGAACCGTGGCACGACTTTGGACCAAGATATTATTACGCTTCGAAGGGACTAGTTCAGCCAATAATTACGTGCCTAGAAGAATTGGCAGGAATTTTAGCGACGAATTTTTTTTTGGTGGATAAGCATGAATCGTTCTTTTTTATGAACTAAAGATTGTGTAGTTTCACTTCTGTGGAGCGGGATTTCTTTTCTAAAGGACTTTTCGAGGTTCACCTTGCGGCCTAAGATGGGGATTCGAGTTTGTGACTCGGACTCGAGTCGCACTTAAGTCGCACACACAGAGACTTCAGACTTGACTTGGACTTCTGCTCAAAAGACTTCGGACTCGACTTGGACTCGTGTTTTGGGACTCGTGAACAATCATTGTGTTTTCTATTTTTGGCGTATTAAAGGTGGGGTAGGTAAGTTTGAGAAACCGGCTCGAGATCGCTAGAATTTGAAAATACACAACCGGAGAAAATCTGCCACTTCCTTACAGAGCCCCTCCTCCAACACACACGAACGCGCACATGACCAATGAGGGCACGAGATACGTTTG